GGAGAAACTGGACTGTCTGGCATCGGTCGGAACTCGAGGGCAGCTTTCTCTCGAAGGTGCTCGCAGCGATTGCCAGGACACTGAAAAGCAGGGCCTCTGAGGGCTGGACTGAGAGCAGCCATAACTGCTTGCTCCGCCCTGTTGATCCCCTGGGACCTTGCCCCGCCCAAGCCATGCACAGAGGCTTTTGCATACGAAAGGCCCGGCCCTTTGCAATCTGAAAATTACTTAACAAACTGCAGCTGGCACAAGGCCCCATGGCAACTTGCATTGCTTCACAGCTGGCTTCTCCTGGGTAGCCTCAGGCAAAGGATAGATTAGCACCTCCTTAGAGATCCAGGAACCAGTGTGCCCGGTGGTCAGAGTGGGGCCATCCAGATTGCAGCTCCTCGGATCCATAAAGGACACACTCAGGGGGCAGACTCAGTGAGCACCAAAGCCCCACTGAAGCAAGTCTTGCCCCAGAAAGGTATCTCCAGCACAGAAGTTCTCCCACTGCAGAAACAGCTGATTCTCACAGCCAATTGGCCTGGAGGTCAATTCCTCCCAGTGATACCTACAACAATCAAGGCTTAACTACAACAAGACTGTGCACAAAGCCCACAAAGGGGTGCACCAAGAGTGTCCACCTCAGGTAATTGGGGAGGCTGAGCCACTGGGCCCTATAAGATACCTAGCACACAAAGCCACTCTATCAACACAGGGAAGCAGCCAAAATGCAGAGACAAAGAAACAGGTCACAAATGACAGAAATGGAGGAAAGCAAAATGAGGACAGTGGGGGAGGGGAGGTGAGGGCAGAGGGTGGGGGGTGGGAGCCGGGTGGAGGGGAGCTTTGGGGTTAAAAAAGAGGAACAACTGTAATAATCTAAACAATAAAGATTTAATTAAAAAGAAATATTGCTCTCTGTCTCCCTCTGACTTCCACTATCTCAATGGAAAAATATCCTCACGTGAGGATAAAAAAAAAAAAAAAGAACTAGGATGGTCAAAAGCTTTTCTATAATCTTTATACGACAGGGCTTATTTTCAGTGTGAGTTTGTTTTCATTCATTACAATTTCTCTTCACTATTAGTGTTTTTGTGATTTTGAAGGGAACTGGGATGAATAAAGGGTTTCCCCCATGGCTTACATTCATATGGTTTTTCTTCATTATAAGTTCTTTCATGATATTGGAGGGAACTTGGATAAGAGAAAGTTTTGCCACATTGCTTACATTCATAGGGTATTCCCTCACTATGAGTTCCTTCATGATGTCAGAAGGAACTTGGACAAGAGAAAGTTTTTTGTTTTTTTAAAATATATATTTTATTGATTTTTTTACAGAGAGGAAGAGAGAGGGATAGAGAGTTAGAAACATCAACGAGAAACAAACATCGATCAGCTGCCTCCTGCACACCCCCTACTGGGGATGGGCCCGCAACCAAGGTGCATGCCCTTGACCGGAATCGAACCTGGGAACTTTCAGTCCACAGGCCGAAGCTCTATCCACTGAGCCAAACAATTAGGGCAAGAGAAAGTTTTACCCCAATGGTTACATTCATAGGGTTTTTCCCAATTATGAATTTTTTTATGATTTCTAAGCAAAGAGGGATGAAAGAAAGTTTTACCACATTCCTTACATTCATGAGGCATCTTTCCATGATGAGTTATTGTATGTTCTCTAAGACATTTGGTAGAAAAGAAGGCTTTCTCACATTCCTTAGTCATAGTTTCTCCCCAGTATGCATTCTTTCATGATTTCGAAGAGAAGCGAAATATATGAAAGTTTTCCTACATTGCTTACATTCATACAGTTTCTCCCCAGTATGCATTTTTTCATGATTCCTAAGAGATGCAGAAAGACTACAAGCCTTACATTACTGACATACATGGGGCTTTTTTCCAGTGTGTGTTCTTTCCTATCAGAGAGAAGCTGGAGAAGATACACCTTTACCATACTTCTTACATTCTTAGGGTTTTGATCCAGTATGAGTTTTTTCATGTCTTCTAAGTACAGAGGGATAAGGAAAGATTTTACTACATTCCTTACATTCATGAGACTTCTTTGTGTCATGTCTTTTTTTTAATATAAATTTTATTGACTTTAGAGAGGGAAGAAGCAGGGGAGAGAGAAACATCAATGATGAGACAGAATCATTAATTGGCTCCTTCCTACAGGCCCCCAGTGGGTATCGAGCCCACAACTCAGGCATGTGCCCTTGGCTGGAATTGAACCTGGGACCCCTCAGTCCGCAGGCCGACGCTCTATCCATCGAGCCAAACCAGCTAGGGCCATGTCTTCTTTTATGATTTCCAAGAGAGCTGCGCAAACTGAATATTTTCCCACATTGCTCACATTTACACGGTTTTTCCTTATGATGAGTCCTTTCATGACTTTGGAGGGAAGATGGATAAGAGAAAGCTTTATCACAATAATTATATTCATAACATTTTGCCCCAGTGTGAGTACTTTCATAAAGTCGGAGGTAATATTGATCATAAAACATTTTACCACCTTGTGTACATTCATGAGGCTTCTTTCCAGCATGACTTTTTTTATGATTTCCAAGAGAGCTGGGGAAAATGAAGGCTTTCCCACATTCCTTACATTGATAGAGTTTTTCCCTCGTATGCATATTTTTGTGATATTGAATGGAAGTTGAAGAGGAGAAAACTTTACCATAAACCTTACATTTGTAGGGTTTTCCCCCAGTATGGGTTCTTTCATGATATTGGAGAGAAGATTGATAATAGAAACCTTTACCACAATGCTTACATTCATAGCGTTTTACCCGGGTATGAGTTCTTTCATGATCTCTAAAGGAGTAGGGATGATGGAATGTTTTACCACATTCCTTACATTCATAAGGCTTTTTTCTGTCATGATTTCTTTTGTTTTCAAAGAGAATTGCTATAATGGAAAGCTTTCCCACATTACTTACATTCATAGGGTTTTTGCCCAGTATGCAGTCTTTCATGAGTTCTAAGGAAAGAGGGATAAAGGAAACTTTTACCACATTCTTTACATTCATGAGGCTTTTTTCCATCATGATTTCCTTTATGTTTTTTAAGAGAGCCGCTAGAATGGAAGGTTTTCCCACCACATTCCTTACATTGATACAGTTTTTCCCTCGTATGCATCTTTTTGTGATATTGAATGGAAGTTGAAGAAGAGAAAACTTTACCATAAACCATACATTTGTAGGGTTTTCCCCCAGTATGGGTTCTTTCATGATATTGGAGAGAAGATTGATAATAGAAACCTTTACCACAATGCTTACATTCATAGCGTTTTACCCGGGTATGAGTTCTTTCATGATCTCTAAAGGAGTAGGGATGATGGAATGTTTTACCACATTCCTTACATTCATAAGGCTTTTTTCTGTCATGATTTCTTTTGTTTTCAAAGAGAATTGCTATAATGGAAAGCTTTCCCACATTACTTACATTCATAGGGTTTTTGCCCAGTATGCAGTCTTTCATGAGTTCTAAGGAAAGAGGGATAAAGGAAACTTTTACCACATTCTTTACATTCATGAGGCTTTTTTCCATCATGATTTCCTTTATGTTTTTTAAGAGAGCCGCTAGAATGGAAGGTTTTCCCACATTGTTTACATTCATAGGGTTTCTCCCCAGTATGCATCCTTTCATGATTTCTAAGAGAAATGGAACGTATGAAAGCTTTCCCACATTGTTTACATTCAAAGGGTTTCTCACCAGTATGCATTCTTTCATGATTTTTAAGATTATTGTTATGTGTGAAAGCTTTCCCACATTGCTTACATTCATATGGTTTTTCCCCAGTATGCATTCTTTCATGAATTCTAAGGAAAGAGGGATAAAGGAATGTTTTACCACATTCCTTACATTCATGAGGCTTGTTTTCGTCATGATTTCTTTTATGTTTTCCAAAAGACCTGCTACAAGAGAAGGCTTTCCCACATTGCTTACATTTATAGGGTTTCTCCCCAGTATGCATTTTTTCATGATTTTGAAGAGAAGTAGAAAATATAAAAGCTTTCCCACGTTGCTTACATTCATAGGGCTTTTCTCCACATTGTGTCTGTTGATGGTCTTGATAAGACTTTGGACAACTGAAGGTTTTCCCACATTGCTTACATCCATAGGGTGCTTCCCTGTTATGTGTTCTTTTATGATTTTGGAGGGAAGTTGAATAAGAGAAAACTTTACCACAAAGCTTACATTCATACGGTTTTCCCCCTGTATGCATTCTTTGATGAATTATAAGGGAATAGTGATGACAGAATATTTCACCACATTCCTTACATTCATGAGGCTTCTTTCTGTCATGACTTCTTTTATGTGTTTCAAGAGAGCTGAGCCAACTGAAGACTTTCCCACATTCCTTATATTCATCAGGTTTCTCACTAGGATGTGTTCTTTCAGGATTTCTTAGACAAGTGGAACTGGAAGCTTTACCAGATTTCTTACATTGATAGGGCTTTTCTGCAGTGTGTGCTCTTTCATTTTCTCCAGAGTACTTGGAAGAACTGAAAGCTTTGCCAAATTGCTTACTCTGATATGGTTTCTCACCACTATGAGTGTTTTTGTGAAGTTTAAAGTAACTGAGACGACTAAAGACTTTCTCACATTGCTTACACTCATACAGTTTCTCAGCGATATGCATTCTTTCATGATTTCTAAGGGAAGCTAAATAGTGGAAAGCTTTCCCACTGGGACTGCCTTCATGTCTTTGAATTTGTTGGTGAGGCTTGAAATCTTTCTCAGGTTCCTTATATTTATAAGGGTTTTCTTCATATTCCTGACACAGGTATAGTTTGGGTCCAATGTGAGAGCTCAGGTGGTTATTCAAGGACAAATAACGCATGAAGATTTGCCTACACAACCTGGATTTAGGTTGTTTTATTTCAGTAGGAGTTTCCTTCTTCTCATTATGATTTGGAATCTGGCTGAAGTTTTCTCTGCATTGACAGCCATCTTTCCTTATACAGAGTCTCTCTACCATATGACTGCTGTAAAAATCAGAGGCATATTATTAATACTCTGTTAACAATTTAGTATTTATTAATAGCATGAAATGACATTTTTATCATTTTCAAAGAAAGGGTGGGGCTTTTGAACATTCCATTTTTTAAAGTGGATATCCTAAAACTTCTGATATAGGCAGGATCATAGATATTATGAAAACACTGATATTCATTAATGGTACTTCTGTATATTATTTCCAAGTATAATTATTTTTTGTACACTAAACATATAGGTCATATTTCAGAAAAAACATTTTGATGAGATTATTCTAAAAATCAATACATTTAAAACTGGGCTGATACAATTGGATTATCTGTTTTTAAGATTCTTTTGTGGACCGGGCCTATATGGCTCTGTGGTTCAGGAAGGACCCACGCACCAGGGGCCTACTGGTTCAATTCTCTGAAAGGGAAAATGGCCAGACTGCAGATTTATTAAACCCAGTACAGGGCATGCAGGAAGCAGTCTATTGATTTTTCTATCTCTCCCTCTCACCTCCACATACTAAAATCAATAAAAACATATTTTTGTACCACCAGCGAGGCTCAGTGCTTGAGCACGGACCTCTGAACCAGGTGGTCATCTTCAATTTCTGGGCATATTCCCAGGTTCTGGACATGATTCCAAATGTGGGGTAAAAAACACAAAGATGCTCTTAATGCTTTATCATGTCAATGCAACTCACCTAAGATTCATCCCATGATTTTCATACTGATCTTCATTGTCATGGTCCTCACATTGTTCTTCTAAAATACATGCTAGAAAAAGCATTATAAACTATTAAAGAATATAAAAAATGGTTAGATTTTAAGTACACAATCAGATGTGATCATTCCTGGTTTAATTACCAATGTACTCCCTTTCCATATTTCGGTTCTTGAAACATCATTAATGAGCAAGCAATAGTAGTTTTCTAATTGTCTAAATAACTCACAAGTGGTTGCAGGCCAGAGTTGCTCTGTGGTTGACTGTCAACCTATGAACCGGTATGAACTGGGAGGTCACAGGTGAATTTCCAGTAAGACTGATTTGCAGGCTAGATCCCCAGTGTGAGGTGTGAGGAGGTACCCAATCAGTGACTCTGTCTCATCATTGATTTTGCTCTCATTCTTTCCCTCTCCTTCCTCTTTGAAATCAATAAAAATATGTTTAAAAAAAAAAAAGAATTTGTGATACCTACCTACTGATGTCAGGTTCCAGAAGGTTTCCAGCATCACATCTGTGTAGAGTTTCTTCTGGGTGGGATCCAGGAAAGCCCACTCCTCCATGGTAAACTCCACATTAACATCCTCAAAGGCCACTGAGTCCTAAAACATCCCACATATACATATAGGAGAATGAGTGAGATAAAGAGATATACATAATTCATAAGAAGTTCACATAGGACTCGTGGTCCCTAACATTCAGTCTATGACTTGATTGTAGTAAGACTATTATTAATTTGCCAAACTCACTCCCTCAAGAACACATGGAACTTACTGATATGATTTTACTGTGATCACTTCAAGTCTTCATTGCTCTCTCTAATGTCAGGGTACAGAGCACCTTGAACAACTTCTATATTAATACATGAAAATACTTCTATTTTAAGGCCATCAATTCCTTGTGAGAAAACTCATCTCCATTATAACCACCATTTTATGCAGCCGTGCATGAAACATACTATCATGTGTGCATAAAGTTTTAGTGACTGTGAATACAATAAAGGCCTAGTAGCTTTCTCTTCTATTCTCATCACCAAACAGGAGAGGCCAGGCGGGGTGGGGAAATTCGAATGAGAACAAAATGTACTTGGCCATATTGTCCTGAAGTACTCCAGAATATTAGAAGTACTCAGATACACCTAAATGAATGAAAATATTCTTGTGGAGGAGTATGAATGATCATTTGTTATTTGTTTTCGTATTTGTTAGTAACTCAGTTTGACCTTCTTTTGCCTCTCTCATTTCATGGAAATAGGATGTTAGAGCTCAGGCATGAGCAAGCCAGGACAACTTAGCCTTCTACAAAAGTCCTCTACTCATGAGGCTGACAGTCACTTCATACTGATTTTTAGGACACATAGACATGTATATTGAAATCATAAGATCACATGCAAAAGAAGTCTTTCCAGGAGAGATGTGACACTCTAACAAGGGCCTGGACCTTGAGGAACAATTTAAGACTTGGACTTGGCCGGTTTGGCTCGGTGGATGGAGCATCGGCCTGCGGACTCGGGGGTCCCGGGTTTCAGGGCCGTGTGCCTTGGTTTCGGGCACGTGCCTGGTGTGGGGTGTGCAGGAGGCAGCTGATCGATGTTTCTAGCTCTCTGTCCCTCTCCCTTCCTCTCTGTGGAGAATCAGTGAAATATACTTAAAAAACAAACAAACCCAGTATGGTCCTTGCCTTAAAACAGAATATAAATCAGTGGAACAGAACAGAGAGCTTAGATATAAACCCATGCCTTTATGGTCGTGGAATATTTGACAAAGGAGGCAAGAACACACGTTAAAGATAGTATCCCGTATAATAAAAGGCTAAAATGGAAATTGTCCCCAGGAGTTTGACCAACTGGGAGTTCCACTGCTTGCTATGATGTGCACTGACCACCAGGTGGTGGCATGAAACATGGCAGGTGTCAGTGATGCGGTGCTAGTAGCAGGCGGCAGTGGAGGCAGTGCCGGCCCTGATGGGCCCTGATGAGAGCGGGACTGCTAGAGGATGGTGCAGTAGGTGAGCGGGCGGCGCCAGGTCAAGGCGGATGTGAGTGGGTGCCCCAAAAACCCCACAGGTCGCCCAACAGATGGGGACAGGCGATTATGGTGGGGGGAGGTGCTGGTGAGTGGGCGGCACCAGGACAATGCAGCTGGGAGTAGGGCCCCAGATGGCCCTACTGGTTGCACCACAGATGGCAACAATATATAACAGTGCTCAAACAGTTGTGAAAAGGGAACTGTTTAATTGTTACAAAGAAACAATTAAAGGGCCTTTCACAGACGATCCTATCTAATAAGATAGTAATATGCAAATTAACCATCACTTCACGATAAAGATGGCGGCACCCACAGCCAATAAGGAGGGAATGTGCAAATTGATGCGACAAAGATGGCGGTGCCAGCCAGAGCCAAGCAGCCTGCGGGACAGCGGGCGGGAAGCTAAGCCAAGACAGTGGGAGAGCAGGCAGGAAGGCTTGGCTTCCTGGGTTGCCCTAGTGACCAAGGAATGGGGCTAGGGGTGATCAGACCAGGAAGGGAGGGGAGTTGGGAGCGATCAGGCCAGTGGTGGGGAAGTTGGGGGAAAGCAGGCCAGCAGGAGGGGGGCAGTTGGGGGCGACAAGGCTGGTAAGGGGGGGGCAGTTGGGGGTGAGCACGTTGGCAGGCAGAGGGGTTAAGGGTGATCAGGCAGGCAGGTGAGCGGTTAGGAGCCAGTGGTCCCTGATTGAGAAAGGATATCTGACTGCGGTTTAGGCCCGATCTCACTGGGACTAAACCGGCAGTCGGACATCCCGCAAGGAGTCCCAGATTGGAGAAGGTGCAGGCCGCCCTCACCAGAATTCCGTGCACCAGGCCACTAGTTATAACTTATAACCCTTGCTTCCCTGATGCTAGAACATTAGACCTTGATTTCTAGGAACAAGAAGGTAGGAATTGAAAGAGAAATCAGGCCCAGGGAAAACAAGTGCCTTTGTCATCTTTAATTATGTGGGCTCTTGTTTAAACTGCACTATGCCCACTTCATATTGAGGATCAAAAGCCTACAGAACACCAGGAGGATTTATCACTAGCCCCTGCTCCTGAAGTAGAGCCTGTAAAGCCGATAATATTGAAGGCCCCGATCCTCCGCTTCCAGTGTGGGAAGGCTCATCAACTAAATCCTGTTATGGGATCATGTGTCAGCCAAGCTATGTTAAAAGGAGAGCTTTTGACTTGCCCATTTATGCAGGATGCAAGGTAATTGGATACATGAACCCCTCTCCGTTAATACCTTTAAAGATAAAGGAAAAGTATGAGAGAAAGTGGGGCTAACAGTCCATTTACAAAAGGACTCCTTCATGCCTTGTCTGAAAATTACCATAAGATGTCTTGGGCCCTAACCAGTTTGGCTCAGTGGATAGAGCGTCAGCCTGTGGACTGAAAGGTCCCAGGTTCGATTCCGGTCAAGGGCATGTACCTTGGTTGCGGGCACATCCCCAGTGGGGGGCGTGCAGGAGGCAGCTGATCGATGTTTCTAACTCTCTCTTCCTCTCTGTAAAAAAATCAATAAAATATATTAAAAAAAAAGAAAAACCAAGATGGCGGCATAGGTTAACGCCGGAGTTTGCTGCCTCGAACAACCACTTCAAAAATATGGTTAAGGGTGATCAGGCAGGCAGGTGAGCGGTTAGGAGCCAGTGGTCCCTGATTGAGAAAGGATATCTGACTGCGGTTTAGGCCCGATCTCACTGGGACTAAACCGGCAGTCGGACATCCCGCAAGGAGTCCCAGATTGGAGAAGGTGCAGGCCGCCCTCACCAGAATTCCGTGCACCAGGCCACTAGTTATAACTTATAACCCTTGCTTCCCTGATGCTAGAACATTAGACCTTGATTTCTAGGAACAAGAAGGTAGGAATTGAAAGAGAAATCAGGCCCAGGGAAAACAAGTGCCTTTGTCATCTTTAATTATGTGGGCTCTTGTTTAAACTGCACTATGCCCACTTCATATTGAGGATCAAAAGCCTACAGAACACCAGGAGGATTTATCACTAGCCCCTGCTCCTGAAGTAGAGCCTGTAAAGCCGATAATATTGAAGGCCCCGATCCTCCGCTTCCAGTGTGGGAAGGCTCATCAACTAAATCCTGTTATGGGATCATGTGTCAGGCAAGCTATGTTAAAAGGAGAGCTTTTGACTTGCCCATTTATGCAGGATGCAAGGTAATTGGATACATGAACCCCTCTCCGTTAATACCTTTAAAGATAAAGGAAAAGTATGAGAGAAAGCGGGGCTAACAGTCCATTTACAAAAGGACTCCTTCATGCCTTGTCTGAAAATTACCATAAGATGTCTTGGGCCCTAACCAGTTTAGCTCAGTGGATAGAGCGTCAGCCTGTGGACTGAAAGGTCCCAGGTTCGATTCCGGTCAAGGGCATGTACCTTGGTTGCGGGCACATCCCCAGTGGGGGGCGTGCAGGAGGCAGCTGATCGATGTTTCTAACTCTCTCTTCCTCTCTGTAAAAAAATCAATAAAATATATTAAAAAAAAAAAAAAAAGATGTCTTGGGACTGGCAGATTTTGGCCAAAAGAACTCTAGAATACAGTCAATATTTAATTTTGAGAGCAGAATATGATGAGATCTGTGAACAACAGGCTGTTTGTGGGTGTTTACACGTGACCCCACCTGGGAGTCCTCTGGACCACATTCTGGCTGTAAGCCCTGGGCACTGTAACACATCAGAAAGATCTAAGAAAAGGACTCTGATTCATTAAGTCTTAGATGTGGGTTATGCACACCTGTAAAAATTGTCCATAGAGTGTCTCTGTTGATCATTGTTTCTTGTCTTTGTTGTTTGGTTTGATTTGTTTAAGGATAGGGCATATTTTACTTTGCTAGAGGCCCCAGCTACCTGTGGTAGGCTGAACATGTGGCAGCGATTGTAGGAACTTCCCAGCAGCTGCCAAGAATTCTTATCTTGGGGACACTTCCTGCTCTCCCTCTCAAGTCATCAGCCATTATCTAGTGAAAGTCATTATCTAGTGAAAGTCATTATCTAGTGAAAGTTCTTGTCTGTCTCTAATGTAACTTGGTTACTGATGTTCTTTGCTTGCTTTCTTATCTTTGGGGGACTTTACTTTGCTGTTTTATGAACACCAGGAATCCTCTGTCTCTACTGTTTGGGTTTGTGCCACTCAGAACCCATTTGCTGTGATGGGTCAGTGTGAGATAAGATTCTAAAGATAATGTCTCAGTCCACATTTTTCTGAGTACCAATTTATATACTGTAGAAATTTTTCTGTTTTTAACATGTCTTCTTTTTTTTTTTAATAGCTTTTTATTTATATCAGAGAGGAAAGGAGAGGAAGAGAGAGAGAGAAGCATCAATGACAAGAGGGAATCACTGATTGGCTGCCCCCTGCACGTTGGACCGAGCTTGCAACCCAAGCATGTGCCCTTGACCGGAATTGAACCTGGGACTCATTGGTCCACAGGCTGACGCTCTATCCACTGAGCCAAACTGGCTGGGACAATATCTCTTTTTATAGGTAAGATTTCATGTTGTTAGACTACTCAAAAAGAAAAATATATGGGAAATAATTATTTAAACCCCACAAGTCTTTTTCCTCGGAGGA